TAGAAGGAAATGAGATTGGTAAGGCAAGACCTACCCACCATGAAGCCATGTTGGCTATATCTCAAGATGTTGCCTTCTGTTAGCCTGCTGTTAATGGTTTCCTTGATGATTTTTTCCAAGATCTTTCCAGGGATTGAGGTCAAACTGATTAGCCTGTAGTTTCCCAGATCTTCCTTCTTCCCTTTCTTGAAGAGAGACACCATTGGCCCTCTTCCAATTATCAGGTACCTTGCTGGAGTGCCATGAGTTCTCTAATATCCTTGCCATTGGCTGCACTATGATATTCCTTTAGCACTCTTGGGTGCATTCCATCTGGGCTGGCTGATCTGTGGATGTCCAGCCTCTCAAGGTGTTCCCTCATGGGATCTATACCAATGATGGGCGTGTATTCACTCTTTCCCTGGTGATCCTGCATCTTATCAAGCAAAGTGATCCCTTTGGGCTGATGGAAAACTGACGCAAAGTAATCGTTAAGGAGACTGTCCAAGCTAAACATGACTGATTTGCAGAAAGCAGAAGCCTCCCTGAGAACAACTCAGTATTACGGGGATAAGATGGGAATAGCTATAGTGCTGAAGACACCTTCAGCACAGATACATCTGAGAACAGTTGAGAGGCTTGGAGTGGGAACAAGACCAGGCAAAGTGCTTCCTTCAACAGGGTTTTCCTCTGCTGATTATCACAGCAATAAATACCACTTAGTTTAAAATATGGGAAATTTTCTTGCTCACCAGGGCTGGAGGCCATGGAGGGTGGGCTCTAAGTATAAGCTCCCACCTGAGCTGCTCTCAGCCTGAATTCCATGGAGCAGGCAGAAAGTGATCATATTCCTCTGCAACACTCACAGTTTAAGAAATTAGAGAGCAGCGTAGGGAGCTGGAAGGGCCAGTCTCATCTGGACAAGCTGCTTACCGTGATGCAAGGAAGTGAGAGAACATAGGAAAGCATCCATCTACACCAGAATTCTCAAGTCGTGGGGATAGGCTGCATATTTATGGAGACTCCATAGTGTATATAGCATGTCCAGACTCCCTGCTTTCATTTAAGCTTCTTGTCCTCATCACTGTACAAAGCCATTCCCAACAAAAAATAAGCACAACTTACACAGTGATGTCTGTCAGATACAGCTGAGAGCCTGAAACAACAGTTGTAAGAGGAGAGAATCCCCTTTCCCCCATTTAATCTCATTGGGCTGTTACCTCAACTGCACTTTAAATGCCAACATTAGCTGTTCCATTCCTCACAACTCTAACAGATGGAGCAGAAAATGGGGCAGAAGTAAGCCCAGATCAAGAAGGAAATACATGGGGAAAGAAAGGAAGAGATCCACAAAGGCAGGAGAGACAAGTAAAAGAGGATAGGGAAGGAAGACATATTTAAGAAACACAGACAGTAACTAAAAATGGAATTCAGCCCTCTCTGGGGAACAACTACAATGGCCCAATCTGACCACACCAAGTTCTATGGTGTCTACAAAGAATTACATCACATTAAATTTCAGCAGCTCAGCAATACCCTTCAGCTTTACTGCTACCTTGTGGTGGCCTCATAGACGCCAAGCCTGACTATGATGGGTACATCATCATTTCACTCTCTTTCTTCCTGACTCCCATTCCAGCCTACAGACCAGAAATGGTGAGCAATATTCTGGAGTAAAGTTCCTCTACAAGTGCTCTGTCATGACAATCCCTCTCCTAATCACAGCAGCATAGCTGGGAACTCAAGGGATGCTTATGCAACTCAGGATGTCTGCAACCCAAGCAGACACTACATTATTGTAGAGGAACTGGCACCTCTCCATTCCTGGAGCAAGAATGAAACAAGCATCAATTCCCAGCATTGAGATCATATCCTGTAGAGAGGACAGGCCTCTTCTCTTACTGGACCTTTCCAGTTTTGGCTGGGTAGAGAAATGTAATCTTTAAATGTTACCACAACAGACTGATTTACTTCCGCTACCCATGAGATTCTCCCAGAGGCACCTTACAAGCCCCTTAAAAGAGGAGTGTTCATCTCAGCAGCTCTATGGGGTAGGTGTTGTTCCCTCTGGGTTGTGTACAGAGAATCCGAGTTTCCTAGGACTTTTACCTGTTTGCAGAATCTCAGGAACCCAATGGAATAGGTCTTTCCCCACAGGCAGCAAGTCCCATACACGCAGCTGGATCTGAAAGAGCAAAACAGCAGGGTTATTTAGAGTAAGATGAACGATGCAGGCCCTTGCTTCTCCACTCTACTACCAAGAATCTAAGATTCTTGCTTTTCACAGACCAAGTAAATCATGGCTATACTGATAGCCAGCATGGTCTCCTTCAGACAGGCATGTTTTGCATTTGAAGTGACACTGACCCCACCCTCCAAACCCAGTTTGTGGGAGAGCAGTTGTTGACTAGAAAGAAGAGGAAAAATGTCACTAGAAAATGTGAAAAGGCAGCTGCAGTTAGCATTGGCTGAGGAAGAGAAAGATGTAAGGATGATCTGGGGCGAGGGGGGCTGGGAGGGGAGTGGGGCCATGGAGAGAAGAAACTCCAGAGAAGCTAGGTGAATAGAAACTATAATTAAATTCTGTTAACGTGCGATGATGCAGGTGCACATTTTCAGTTGTGCGCTTAATGATCCAGATAGCATCAGCCTGTTCACCATACATTTGCCCCACCACAAAGTTCTCAGTGGCAGGTGCAAGATGAAGCCTGTGATACAGGGGCTGCCTGCATAGAAAGGTGAGAAAGAGATGCATGCTGTAGGTAGACTCCAGGTACTCACTCAATTGATTTCCCTCTGATCTCAGACATGATGGAGCTCTCCCCACCAAGGTACTCATAGCAGAGACTGAGGAAGTTGTAGATCACAAAGGCTGTGAAGACATTGAAGTTTATCATGATTCTGATCTGGTTAAACAGAGGCAAGAAGCTGCTGTGCAGGCTATGAACAAAACATCAGAAACCACTGTCTGTGCAGCATCTGTCATCCTGAAGCATCCCAGATTGTTTCCTTACAGTTCGCTCATCCTCCTACCTCAGCAGTTACATGACAAACCAACTCAGCATTTGGCTAGGGCACTAGAACTAATGGTTCTACTTCTGCAAAAAGCATCATGGGACTTTAACGAAAACCACTCTGACCACAGTCTCCACTTCACATCATATCCATCAGATACCACTTCCAGAGACACAGAGCTCCTGAGTCTCACTGTGGGGCAATAGACTAGAACAAGCACATATGAAAAAGCCTCACTAATGAATCATCCACCTGACATCTTTGTGCACCCTGCATTTACTTTAAGGTCTTCAATACAAGCAAAACTCAAACTCAACACTACTTAGCTTGAGACCTGATGAGTGCAGTCTCACCAGTGCAGACACATTGCCTCTACAGCGAGACTGAGAAAAAAGAAAGGGTAACCTGAAGAGGGAAGCTTTGTTCCTGTGCTTTATGGGGACTGTTACATTTTGCAGTCTGTTTTATTATTCTCCAAAAAGCTGTAGCATTTTTCACTAATTGGGTGCCTGAAGAAGTACCCCATATCACCTTCCAGTGTGCCTTCCCTAAGGAATGCATTTGTTTTCTCTTCTGTAACATCCTGTATAAGCAATGCCCTCCACAAAGCAGCAAACACCTAGTCCTCCTTCAGGTCTCTCTCTTCATGACCCATTCTGCTGAAGCATCGAGTAAATGGGCAACTGATAATAGCCAGATGAAAGGTTGGTAGGAACTTTCATTCTATTTATAAAGTTTCCCAAGGGTTCAAAACCCTTTAGCTATGCACATGGCTAGCCTATAATCCCCACAGGTTCTCATGACCATTTTTCTGGTCAACATGATGCCTCCTGCTGCATCCTGAGGTAAGCTGGACTATGAGCTCTTTTGAGGAGAGAATTCCCCTGTTTATTCAATAACTGGTGTGAACAAACCACACCAGTTATCTTGTGACCCCCAACTGGATTGAAATGTGTTGGTACGTCCATAATACAATGAAGAAACATTATTAAATTCAAGAGAGACATACCAGGGAAACTTCCTGATGAAAAAAAAAACAATATCCAGCACACGAGGCTGAGAACCCAACCCTCTGAAAGAAGCTGAATACTGGACCACAAGGAAGTTAATCCTCCTTAGGAAAGTGTCCAAAGACTGAAACAAACAAGCTGTGAGCTTACAAAAAAAGCTGCTTGACATACACCCAATATACTTGCACATGAAGTTAATTCTACTGTCTAACCACTGCCAGATAGATATCTTTAATTGAAGAGAATGGTACAGCATTTGAAGTGTCAACATCTATCCACTTCCATTTATGTAATCAAGACAAATGTTATTCTACATATAGCCCTTGTTTTTGGACCATAATGGATTCTGGGAAAACATCAATTTAAACCAACAAAGCAGAATGCAAAATATACTTTCTGATGTTTTTGTTTGTTTTATTTTTGTATTTTAATAAATACCTGGTCTGCAGTTACCCGAGTTGTAACTTAGGGCTAGGTTCTATTCCACCTATAAAGGTGTCTAAGTAGACTTAGGCACCTAAGCATGATTTATTCCATCTGTTCATCCATTTATGTATGTCCCAAAAATCCATTACAGCATCTACTTTTGTAAAACATGGCCATCTCACCCTTACAATTCACCTACTTTTTGCATGAACTGTTTTTTCAGGGACTTGAGCAGGGTAAAATAAAACTACACTTAAGACAGCTAAGTCTACTGATGGATCTAATAGGTGGACTAGGATTTGGCCCTTTGAGTCAAAAGAAACAGCTTAAAACCCCTACAGGGTAAGAAGCTACACTTGCTCTCCAGCAGCTCCTCCACTGCCCTCTAATGTGTTCCTTGCAATGCCAGTTGCCCATCCAAAAGTGATGGGAAAGAGACAAAATCAGCACAAGAAAGAATGAGGACATCTGCACCCACTCAACCCCAAAAGAAACCAAGTGATGTTATCAAAGACAGCTGCACTAGATCAGATCTTCCCCTACCAGCCCAGATTCATCCAAGGCATTTTTGACATCATCACAAAGGACAGAAAGAAAGAAACCACTCGTGTCATTCACTTTGGCATCAGGTGTTTATAGTTGTAGCATCAGGGTAAAGAGCAGAACCAAAAAATGTATTCACTGCTACTGCCCAAAAATGTTCACCACAAAGAGAAGCCCTTAACTATCACAACACGGATTTCAATTTGTATGACAGCAACAAATAATAAAAAATATGCTTCCCTCCCAGTAGAGCCCTCTATCAAGAGTAAAAATTCTTCCTTGAAGGAGAAGAAAAGGATGGGGGGGAGGGGGAAGAGAAGGGAGAGGTCTGTTTATTGCCTGTTTGTCATTAGGATAGTTTTGAAGCTGTTCATAGAGGATTTTTTTCCTCCCACTTGTTGTCTATTCATTGCAAAAGTGAACAAGCTGGTGAACTTCAGGAAAGCGGGTTGCCTCCTGAGCAGATGCTGTGATGTTTGCAAACTCCCTAGGCAAGGTAGAGGGGATAATAGCTGTTGCTAGGCAATGAGTTTCACAGAGCAGCAGGCTTCCTGCTAGGCATGTGTGCGCGTGCACATACATACACATGCGCGCATATACGCGCGCGCACACAGAGGAGCAAGAGAAAACAAACAAACAAAATCCTGAATAAAGATGGCCTCTGCATTGCATGCGTGCATGCGTCTGCCATCTGTTATTGTGTCTCAATGCAGTGTCATAGGCATGAGGAGGCCTGCTGGTCCCTCAAGCAGATTAATTTGTCCACACACCCAGGGCTTCCCTCTGCAATGCAGATCTCACTAATAACCAACCCTCTAAACAACGTGCAGTTTAGTTGGGATGCACACACAAAACCAGCAGCAAAATAAAACCACTCCAAAAAGACACAGACTGCCACAGCTTGGGTAGAAGGCTCCTTTTCTGAATGAGATCAGAAGGGAGGCTTAGCTAAGGCGTTTATTTTGGAGACTGGCTGTTTCCCTCTCACGTAACCCCAAGACTGTTGTCATCTTTTGATGGGCAAGTCACATCCTTAGGAAAGTGCAATAAATAGCACTGCAAGGCATTTTACAGAGATGACAGGCACTTCACAGTGACACGGCACTGAAGCACAGTGAACACATGGCAGCCTTCTTCAGTGATTCGGACATAGACACCGTTTGAAAAGATTTTTCTCCATACCCCGAGGTACCAGCGTGGCTTGTGATCGCTGTGATGCTGGGGTGCATGAAGCATCCCACTAGAGTGAGGGGGGACCCTTCACATGCTCGGTGGTGAACCTGGAAGTGGACCAGAAATATTTCTAATCCAATTCCGGGTCTGCCGAGGAATGTGCAGGGGAGGCCCCTCCGCTCAGCGATCAGCCACAGATGCCCCCCCAGACCCAGGAGGCACCAGCTGCTAAGCTGGAGGGCATGGGGGAGGAACCTCCAGTACACTCCCCGGTGGACCCAGAAGTAGACCACTTTCAGGTCTGCTGCCAAGCGCGTTGGAGAGCCCCCCACACTTCTGCGGGACACTCCACATGCCCCAGCATCACAGCATTCACGAGCCGCCTGCTACCTAAAGGTATGTAGAAAAAACATTTAAATCTGTGTCTATGTCCAAATCGATTCAGAGAGATTAAAGGGTCCTCTGATTCGATTCGGATTCAGAGATTCGGTCACCGAATCGGACTAAATCTCTGCCAAATCTAATCAGGGGCCGAAGTTTCACACAGCCCTAGTCAGACCCTTGTATGCCTCCTCTGAAATGATGAATCCAGGGCTGAAACAGGAGAAAACATCTTATAAGCTTTGTCTCTAAGCAGCATCCTTAGAGGAGTCACAATATGTCCTGTCACTCTTATGGAAGCCAGTTATGAGGGAAGATGTTCCCTCATACTGAAATCTGTCATCCTATACAGTTTGGGGCCATCACTGCCAATCCTAGCCCTCTGATGAAGCCACTGTCCTCTGCACTTCCTGTCCTCTTGTAGTACCAGCCCTTGCCTTCCAGCTTGTAAACAGCAAAACCCACATGAGGCCAACTTCCCGGGTCACCTCTCCTTACCTTCATAGCAGTCCCGCACAGTACCAAAGTAAACATAGTATTGGTCATTGGTGAAGAACAGGAGGCTGAGCCAGGAGTCGAAGGCATAAATGGGCACAATGAAAAGGATCCGGACAATATAGCGCTGCTCATTAGGGCAGCTGTAGCAGCGCAGATGCATATAGATCTGAAGAGAAGAAGACAGTGAGTGGGATCAGTGATACATCAAACCCAGAGGATAAAGTAAAGTAAAGCCAGGTGGCCAGTGGGGACTGGGAATGGGAAACAGAACTCCTCCCTAGATCACCTGTTTCAATGCAGCCTCAAGTTGACAGGGATCAAAAATGTTACTGTCATCTTCTGACCACCCACAGTGGCCTGTGCACAGCAAGTCAGGAATTCTGGTCCAGCTTCCAGAGATGGGATTACCATATTTACTTAATCATAAAATGACCTCCCCATTAATACAATTCTATATGTTGAAAATTTTTAAATTTGTTATCAACTTCCAGGTGTAGAATCTAATTATTGGAGTTTTGCCTTTAATTCTGTCCTCCTACTGCTACAACAGGAAAAATATGTCTGGGGGGTCAGGCAGCCCTTTGCTTTGTGCTTTCCCCCCAACTTTTCCTCTGGCAGCCCCTTCACCCTCTCCTTACTGTCAGAACCTGCTCTCCCTGAGCACATGGAAGCAAGGAGCAAATTTGAAAACAATAACCTTGAAATTAAGCATGGCTGTAGCAATTTGCATACAGTACCCTTGCACTTAGTTCATCCAAAATTGATACATTACCCTTTTTTGACACTGCAAAGTTTTAGCACAGGTACTTCACAAACACAATTTTGCACAGCACTTTGACACCTTTTTTATTTTTAATAGAAAATGTTTCATGTCCCAAGCCAAATCAATTCCAAATCCATGTGAATCATTCAAGAACCATATGTGGCCCTGCTACCAGCAAGCATCCTACACCCCCACCTGGGGCTTCAGATACTCCCAAATCCTCTGACAGGCATCCTACATACAGGACCAAGCCCAGACTTGGGGTTTGGATGCCCCCAAGTTTTGCTTGCCCTCAGCCACGTGGCTGCAGGAGCAAGCTAGGAAGGAGTCTACTTATATACATCCAAAGCCAAAGGCTTGCAATTTATCACATAGCTCATGTATCACATAGCCCCCACCAGAATCAACAGCATTTCAAGCCATGGTGACCCCACAGCTCAGCACTGCTCAGTATATGTGTGTACTCCAAAAAACGCCACAAAAAGGATCCATGTGCTAATTAGTCCCCACTCATGACTGGAAATGAGTGTTCTTGTCACAAGTACTGGGATGCTCCAAAAATTAATATACAGGTAAGGCAAAGGGCAACCTGGTCCAGCTTCACCCCATGGAGGGCAGGACCACACTAATCATATGTGATAGGCTGACAGAGGGGGCAACAGAGACTCTGGGTGAATTGTATGCAATGTCACAACCACCATGACTTGAGTCGGCGGTAAGGGAGACTGTGCTTAACAGGCAGTACCATATGCCTTATCCAGATGGGCTACACTAACTCACTCTATAGTAGATCCCCATCAGCATGTTTGCCAATTAAATGAACTTCATAGTTGGTTTCCACTGCTGAGCACATGCTGCTTCTGGCAGCAGTTTAACGAGAGACAATGTATTTAGTGAGATTTCTTTGTACGTGATTATAAGACGAGGGGCTTTTTTCCCCATGCTACTTGTCTTGTATTCAAGTAAACACAGTAACTGCTTTTTTTTAATATGTTTTGCTTTCCTTACCTCATTTCCTCTCATTCACACTTAACTCCCCTATAATCTATCCAAAATCATTGTTATTCCCTTCCCTTTCTACCCATCTAACAGAACTAACAAGGATGTCAAAATCCTATTCACCCTCTCCAACAATTGGGGGTTTATCAGCCATCGCAAAATCACCCTAAGTCACACTCCTAAAAAGCTCTCCATAGAACAGCCATCTTTTAACAACAGACTTAACAGTTACCAAAAAACAGTCCCAGGATGGAAAGGAACATTGTACTTATTTGTCAACGTATAAAGCCCGCTACAAAAGGTACACAAATCAGCCTTCCATACAGGCCTGTTGGCAACAAAAGGATTCCAATGCCACCTCTCAAAGACCTACCTCTGGCAAACACCCTGATGGTCAAGAAGCCTGCTACTGAAACAGTAGGGGACATGTTCCTCAGAGACAAGGTCTTCTGAATGCAATTTTAGAAAAAAAAACCCAAACAACCAGAATGGTATTTTTTTCCCTCATCCCAAGTACACCTAACCCTCCTTCAAGTACACCTAGCACAGCTCGGGGATAGCAGGCACCACAGTTCTCATAGCTCCAAGCTTCACTTTTAGGATGTCAGTAGGACCCTTTAATGTGTACACCCCCTCAGGGAGGATCTGCCACAGAGGAGCCCACTGCCACAATGAATCCAACGCTCTGTCTCTGACACTGGATTCTTCAAAGAAACACTGCACATGCCTAACCGTACAGAGCTATACCACAAGAAAGGGATTCCTCCCTGCTCACGACAAGTGATCCATCTGTGCTCTGAATCAGTAGTATCAATACCACTTTAATTGTTCCCCCTGTAGCTGTTGCTCTTAGTCACCAGCAATACCTGCAGGGTGAATAATCTGTTTTTGCACCTCACCAGACTGTCCTGCTCTGCAACAGGCTGCAACGGACAGCTTGCAGTCACCATTCTGGAATTCATTAACCCCCAGGTACAAAACACAGGTTGATAAATAATAGGGCTTATGCTTCCCACCACGTATTCCAATGCACGTGATGGCTATGTACAGAACAGGATGTTGGATTTGACTTGTACTGGCACCCAGAGCACCTGCTCTAGAAAAAGGGGCAAAGGGGGGAGGGAAGCAGACATTTCCTGCTACTCCTTTCCACAGTGGAATTCAGTTTATTACTGGCAGCAGAGATCAAAGGAAGCACCACACACTGGATTTAAAACAAGACGTGGCTGATCATCTGATGAACTAATGGATGACACAGCTACAAAACAGCAAGATACAAGAGTAATTAAGCGTCATAAATTAAGGCACAATATCAGCACCTTCATGTCTCCTTCCGCCTCCCTGCCCACACCTCAATTTACAGCAGTACTCCAATGGTCAAATGCTTTGCTGTAGGGAAGGGGTACTCATATTCCTCTAAAGATCAGGTGTGATGAATTTGGAGCTGCCCTAAAGCAAAGTACATTGGCCTGGTTATAGGACTGTTTGCTGTGACTGTATTGGTCCAACACAACTGGAGGTTGCTGGGAAAACCAGGTTAGATGGGGGAGAATGGATCAAGATATGCTAACTGTCCACAAACACTTGACAGTTGTTGAAGGACTATACTAGGACTATAAACCTTAAGATATTGCTTCCTCTCTGGTTGACCTGAAGAATCAAACACAGGAAAACGCCTGCAAACACAGGTAACCAAGTAACCAAAAGTCTGGCAGGCTATAAAAAAATATTTCTCTCAAGAGAAGAGAGTAACTGCTAAGAACCACCTAGCATCCTCCTAGGAAATGTCAGAAGTTGGGCCTTCCTAGGTTACTACAAGGGAAAAGTAAGACTTAGGTGAGATAGACGTGAGTGTAGGCTATTTTAAAATTGCCTCCCTAAATGCTGTTTTCTTGCTGTTCGCAACTACTTCTGGTTTCAGAAGGCCGTCTGGTCACTGCACATCACTAACCCACCCCACCAAAGGGAAGAATGACTGGTTCCTGAACTCTGTTCTACCTGCTGGATAAGCAAGTTTAAACCACAGGGTGCTGAAGCTCATGGCCTGGCCCAGAAATGGGAGAACTGTAGAACTGCACACTGGAAGAGGTCAGGACACAAGGCCTGACAGCCGAAGGAATGCATCCAAAGAGACAAGGAAAATAACAGAGATGCGTCTAGCCCAGGAACTGCAACAACAGGCCTTGATCACTGCTGAAGAGATGCTACTGGAATAAGCAAGCCTAAGCACAGCAATTCCCATGTGCCTCTGCTAATAAGACTTTTTGACTAGATGTGATATCTTTTATTAGACCAACTGAATAATTGGAAAAAGGTTCTTAGCTAGCTTTTGGGCGCAGTCACCCTTCTTCAGGCAAGCAGACAGGAAAAGTGCTCAGGTCTTCCACATCCTTAACAATGATCTCCCTTTCTTTACATATCCCTCCCCCAGGGCTCACTGCAAGTCAGGCTTGCTCCTTATGGTCTTGAAGACTGGAGGGAAGATGAGACATGACACATGCAGCTACCCAACTACTGGAACATTTTGCACACAATGGTACTATCTGCTAATCATAGAATCACAGAAAATTAGGGCTGGAAGGGACCTCAGGAGGTCATCTAGTCCAACCCCCTTCTCAAAGTAGGACCAACACCAACTAGATCATTCCAGTCAAAGCTTTGTTTAGCTAGGTTTTGAAAACCTCCAAGGATGGAGCTTCCACTACCTCTCCGGGTAACCTGTTCCAGGGTTTTACTACCCTTTCTAGTGAGAAAGTTCTTCCTAATACCTAACATAAAAATGAGCTTAAACTTTCCTTGCTGCAACTTGAGACTGTTGCTCCTTGTTCTGTCACCTGCCACCACCTAGAACAGTCTAGCTTCATCCTCTTCCCAAAATTTGAACCCAGCCAGGGCCAGAAATTGAGGCTTAACATTACTTGCCCATAGACAGGTTTGAACCACCAGCCTTTTGGTTAGCAGCTTAGGACTCAGGCCCCTCCACCACAGAAGACCCATGATAATCTAGACCTAAAATGTATACCTTTCTCTTCCCCATGCACAGAAAGAGTGTTTCCTCCAGGGCAGCAGAGTTCTCAAGTATCCACTAGTAATCCAGAAGCCTTGTCACCCTAGTGCTTCATATCATCATATCGTTTAGGAGCAGAGCTGATCTTCAAGTAGCCTGATGAGGCTTACACACTTTCTTTCTACTGAACCCCTTACTGCAGAACTCATGCAGCACTAAGCATCAGTTGCCTTCTCCGAGTCACAGGCTAATGCTTCCTTCACCACCTTCCCCACTCTTATTAGGCTATACCTAAACCTATCTGCCTCTGACACCATAGCTTCCACCAACAGAGCTGCTGCTGTTGCCAAGTCACTAGAGCATATTCACTCCCTGGAGACTCAGCAGCTGGGCTGCCCAAGTGTGAACTGTATCGTGGGAAGGCACTGGCTGCTGAAGTGACTGCAACAGCTGTTTGGAGATCCTGGAGCATTTACTGGTGTCTTCTGCTGGCTGCCAGGTAGTTGCAGAAATTTTGCTCCACCAGCAAACATGGTGCAACTCTCTGGGTTCTGCCACCACAGATGGGCTTTCAGCATGCAACTCCGCAAGTTTTGCTAGTGGCACAAGAGTTCTGCAGGCAAAACCCTGAAGAGTGGACTGGTCTTTAATCTTCACAAAACAGGTAAGAAGCTATTTTAGTTCTGTCAATGACTCCTCAAAGGGAAGGGGTTAAAACACCTTAAGGCGAGCCCATTACTCAACTAGAAGGAATGATTTAACTCTAAAAAAATGCAGCTCTCTGGCACCACTCCAGCACCAGAGTACCTTCATCCCCCTCTTCCCACTGCAGACAGAGATACCCAAAACTGGAACTGTACATCATGCCACATGCACTCATCTGGTTTAGGAAGCATGAATGAGAGGAAGGAAGAGGGAATAACAGGGACCAAATGCCATAGGATTTTTACCTGATGGCAGGTGATGAGCAAAGCTGTCCACACAAAGAAACCTGAAATGGCCTGAGCAGCTGTAGTCATTAGAAATATCGGTTGCTCCACTGCTGTGGGGCTGCCATCATTGGGCATCCAAGAGAAGTTGGGAGCCGCAGCTGGAGTGGTGGCACTGGACCCCAGTTCAGGGGCTGACATGACTCCAGTCACCACTATCATCGTGCCTTCTCAGAAGAATTTCCACCTGGAGTTTCTATAAAGCCACCTCTAAGAGACCTGTTAAAGCCAAAGGAGAAACAGAAGGAATTATGCTTAGCTGAACGGACTCAGAATATCATGGTAACTTTCTGCATTTCTAACATATGATCCTGGAGTGCTGCACAAAAAAGGCTGAGTAAAACCTCATGGTAGGAAATATGGTAGGTAGGGGCTATGTAGGGATCACTTGCCTGTCTGTGAAATACAGATACCCTAGGATGAAATGCAGCACCCATTTGGTGATAGTAAAATAACC